TCCTTAAACCCTAACCCTAACATGTCACCCATTGAGCATGTTTGGGATGCTCTGGATCGGCGTATACGACAGCGTGTTCCAGTTCCTGCCAATATCCAGCAACTTCGCACAGCCATTGAAGAGGAGTGGACCAACATTCCACAGGCCACAATCAACAACCTGATCAACTCTATGCGAAGGAGATGGGTGACATGTTAGGGTTAGGGTTAGGGTTAGGGTTTAACCCTAGGGTTTTCGGACCCCCCCCAGACCCCCCCAATATAACAAAACTGCACGTTTCAGAGTGGCCTTTTATTGTGAGCAGCCTAAGGCACACCTGTGCAATAATCATGCTGTCTAATCAGCATCTTGATATGCCACACCTGTGAGGTGGGATGGATTATCTCGGCAAAGGAGAAGTGCTCACTATCACAGATTTTTTCCGATTTGTGAACAATATTTCAGAGAAATGGTTATTTTGTGTATATAGAAAATGTTTTAGATCTTTGAGTTCATCTAATGAAAAATGGGAGCAAAAACAAAAGTGTTGCATTTATATTTTTGTTCAGTGTATGTATGTAGGCCGATCCAGAAGTCAGCATAGCAAGGGCTCCCTGGATTAAAAGCAATGGGATTTTTGGAATATTGGAGAAATATGATTTGTGGCAAACACAAGTTAATAATAATTAAACGTAAACTAGTCAAAAGTAAAAAGCTAAAATCAAGCTATAAACCAATGGCTACGCATCACCAGAGCTAAGCTAAAGGCGACTAATGTTCAGTGTGATGACTTTTAGTAGTTTATCCAGTCACATTTATGACTCTGTTTTAATACATACACTTACGATTTTGAGATTCATGAGGTGGATATTTAATGACATATTTTATAAAAATATCATAGAAATACCGTGTTAACCACAAATCGTATTTAAGGCGTCTAAACACGTTGTAAATACCCTTGATTTCAAGAAAAGGAACTGAAAGGGGTACAATGCTAACTCAATTCCTGGTTTCAGGACTCATTCCCACACCAATCTTTTGCTAAGGCTTGCAAGTACCAATAATTATACTTTAAGTAAGACTAGAGGCGTTTTTATTGAACCCTGCAGGAGCTGCTAGCATGTTTTCTGTTTATCTGCTTGGGCCTGGTAAAAATGAACACAACTCGATGCTATAGGAAATAGAAACTTACATTTGAAGTCAATAATTACTTTTATATTAATAACTCACCCTGTGTTACCTGGAATTGTTGAAGAAATCTCAATGGTGAATGTACAATAGAAAAATTGAGAGAATCCTCATCAAAAAGGTGACTTATGTAACAAAAGCAAAACTACATGGGTAGCTAGCAGGGGAGGTAACCATAGAAACAAAACGTAACTAGCTGTTCTCACCACAGGGCACAAGGTGGGCCTCACAGTGAGCAGAGCAAAACGCTGATCATGTGAATGCAGCTTTAGATGACTTTAGAATCTGGGTTTTTAAGTGAACAGTAACACATTTTGAGTGAGTCACCAGTAAGGGCTCAAGCCATGGGATGTTTCAGTTATTTGGTCCTGGCTGGACATTAATTAAAAGGCCGATTCAAACAGAAACAGCAGATAGAAACAGATTTACCTAATTATTTCCCCAGAGCAAAACTTATTTCCATAAATACGTCAAGAGTGTTAAATTAAAACAAGAGTATAACGTCTGCATGAATAAGAATTACTGGCAAGTGTTATTTGGTATTCTTGAAAAACAGGGATGACAATATGTGTATGTGTTGTGAGTCACTGAGAAAGACAAGTAGACGAAGAGCAGAAGTGAAGAGACTGAGATGAAAGAGGGCAGAGAGATACTGAAGGAGAGAGTTATGACTGCTGTGAGGATTACTGAGGCTGCCAACAAGTGCAGCTGGCATTCCTCACTTCAGCACTCCTTCAATATTTGGCACAAAAAAAAAAGAAGGGGAAAGTGTTAAAAGGCAACTACACTGTTATGTCTCCTCAATCAGAAATATAACATATTTCAAGAAAATGTGAAGTAAAGTGTTCAGTCAGAACTAGCAACATGGAGGTTTTAAGGCTAGAATAAACAACCCCAAGATGATTAAATAGTCATAGCTCTATCCATTTAAAGTGACTGTATAGTATAAACTGTTGAATAACTACTCTCACCAAGTCACAACAAAGGCAGTAAAAATTAAAACAAGAAAAAAATAAACCTGTATGTCAACCTTTGGTAATATTTATTTTTGTTTCTTCGCCGAAATCTAATTAAATGACCATAATGACAGTCGGCAGAAGACACAATTTAATGTAAATGAATGGATTAAATGAATCTACAATATGTACATTGTAATGTGACATTAACTAATAAATGTTGCATTGTTTCAATCACTGTTCTTTGAATGTTATTAGAGAAAGAATAGAGGCTTTTCCTAACAAACTCTATCATGATAATCACCTCTTTATTGGTTACTCTTTTACAACACAAGTACCAAAGCTAGCGAGGGTACCAGCAACTATTCTGCTAAAGCCTTATGCTGTCTCCATCAGGATTACTGCTATTCTGCTAAACTAAGCTAGTGACCTTTAACCAGGGGTTATTTGGTGGCTGTTGCTTATTCGTCTCATTTATGTGGTATAAAAAGCTCAATTATAAACTTCAATTTAGAAAAATAATAATCATCAAAATGTTATTTAACTAAGGAAAACACCTTGTGGGAAAAGTGTGTACCGTAGCTTCAACTTTAACCAAAGCTAGGTCTTGCTAGCTCACTAGCTTAAATTGCTAATGCGCAAAGTTTTAAATGCTGTTCATCTAAATTATTCATTGCTAGGTTTGTGGTTTTATGGGGTTTTCCAGTGTAATGCTGGTGTGATTTGTAAGTTATTTTCCTGTTCTAAAGTCTAAAGTCTTTCAAAGAACACATTTGGATCGCAGGAGTTTATATGTTTATCTTTGTAAGAGATTAGATGCAGTCATCATTACCTTAAAGAAGCTACCGCTCCTGTCTGTGAGGCCGCTGGGGGGGTTCCCAGGCGGCGAGCTGGAGGCCATGTTTACTTCCTGTCCACAGGACTGGGTCCCTCTCAGCGTCTGCAGCTCTGTGGGTCAAAAATACACTTCAGTCCAGACACTTGGTGCGGTGCAACCAGAGGAAATTCCAGCTTTAGCCACAGTCAGTCTGCTGGAAAACTTTCAATGTGACTCTCTCCCTTCTCTCCCCCCATCTTCTAGCCTTGAACACATTCACATCTCCTTTCATTTTCCTGCCTCTTCTGTCTTTGTTCCTTCTTTCCCATTCTTCAAGATAATTGCTTAGTCCTTTTTTATCTCATTGCAATCCTCAGTTTATGTTTGGCCTGAAATATGTCCTCTTTCCTCCTCCTCTCACATTTCATTTTTCCTTTATTTTTTTCCCCATGTCCGTACATACTGAATTCCTTTTCCATCTTGTCTTCAGTTCAAGGACGGGAACCTTCTCTCCCATTTCAACAGAAGGTTGCTTCGGTTTATCTCTCTTTTTAATATGCAATCTCTGTTAATGTGTCCCTCCCCGTCCTTCTTTCTGTCTCGCTGTCTCCCCCTTGTCTCCAGCCAGACTAGGACTATTAGAGAGCCCCTCCCCTCCTGGCAGGGGTTCACTCAGTCCTCAAAAACAGATGAGATGCTCCATTTGTCCATCCATCCCCCACATGCACTTTTATCTCACACAGGAAGGATCACCCCCCACCATCGCTGGCTCAGGGGGAGGAGAGGAACAAACAGGAAGAAAAAGAACTGAGGGAGAGAGTGAGAAGGGTTAGGCTGAGATTTCTTACTTTCAGACAATCAAAGTTGGAACTATTTTTAGGTGCAGGGAGTTTTGTTCGGCAGTATTTAGCAAAATGGAAACATCAGTAAAAAACAAACTGGCCACTGTGGCCGGGGTTTAACAAGGCAGGGAAAAAAGAATTGGGCCACATCTGCCACATTTGCAGTGGTACTTTTTTATTGAATTCAAGTTGGACGATTGATAAAACAAGTGTGAAGGATGACAGAATAATCAATAAAGGAAATACTTGTCAGTTACAGCCCAACAAACTGCAATAACGGCACAGAGACGGTAACATTTCTGAGTGTCTCAGAGTGAAACTGATGGAATTATGGTTTCATTTCCACAAACAGCTGGCACTGAGACGGTGGGGGAAACAAAATATTTAAAGAAGGGTCAGAGATTGTGAGATACACATTTAAAAGATACAAAACGTTCCCAATGAGAACATTTTAGTTTGTGTTGACTTCATGTTCTGCTGTTTTCATTCCGACCTAATGCTAGTGGCGTGCCAATGAAAGCTCTGATAGTAGGGTGAATAATCATGAACAGAAAGCATGCTGGGTATTGTAGGACACAAGAGGAACTCTCACCAGGTTAGATTTAGCTCTTCTTGGTAAAATGGGATGTCCCCCTACCTGCCGCAAAAACACTGCAATCACAATCATTTGTTGCCAAGTCAGTGCATACAAATCCTTGTGTGTGTGTTTCTGTGTATGTGAGCCTCAGCTGCAAGTAAACAAAGTCCAATCTGAGCATGCACCCCCCCTCATAGAAACACAAAGAAGCCCCCTGGCTGTGCAGCACAGCAACATCACAAGAAGACTTCACATGCACTGATATATGGTATAATCTAGCAAGATTTATAGACACAGTTAAATATCAAGACGTGCAAACACATAACAACTAATCATACAGTTTGAGAAAAAGACACACTTAATTGTGTTGTACATAATAACAGAACATAAAGACAGCCGGACTTCATAAGGCTCTGGTATTTGTGATGCTGAGACCCTCATCTTATCCCAGTGGGGGTCATATTATGAGAAGTCTTTATCAGTGCTAATAAATAGCTTCAGTGTTTGATGCTTGTGAATACATATGTTTGTTGTTTTCATTATAAATTCTACTTAACTATGATTAATGATCAATGTCTTATTTTTGGCTTACAACTAACCTCAGTCCATTTGACTATTTATCTAACTATGTATCTGTTGTAACTAGTCTTTGAAGATGATTAATAGGCAGACTGCACACACAAGAACATTTGACTGGTTTCTATGTGCCGTGATGTAACATGCTGTATTAGCAAACATTAGAATAAAACAGGACCCCATCTTATTATATTAGTCAGAGTGGTGCAGGAATCAGTATTAAACCAGGAAATGATTTACCCTTCTAGCACTTCCGGGATCCCTCGTCTTGCAGTCAATTGGGTTTTTTGGGTTACATTTTTGGTTATATTCCTGAAATAAGGTGTGTGGTTAACAGAAGTTTAGTGTTTCAGTTTTTTTAGTTTGAAGTCTGAAGGTTTTATTTGTTTTAAAAACAGTAGTGGCTAACAAGTGGCTAAATGAGACTTTTACATGACATTACACTGAACATTAGCCGCCTTTAGCTTAGTGGTGCTGACAGAGGCCCTGATGTGGTTTGTTTTGAACTTAACATTAGCTTTTTACTTCCGGTCATTTGCTTTTACGCTTCGACTATTACAAAAGTGGTGTTAACTTGTAGAAATTATCCAGCTGAATTAAACGTGTAAGTATCATAAACGTGTGTTAGCAAACAAAAAAAGCATAGATCTTTGTCAAGGAAGCCCAATAGTGATGCTAACTTTTAGGTCCGCCTACAAAAACACTTAATCACTGCCCCACTCTACTGCATGTCTGTCAGTCCTGGGAGTGATCCCTCTTCAGTACCTGAGGTTTCCTCCACTTTTCTCCTTTGTTAATCCACTGAGGATCAAAGGACAGAGCGTGTCACATGCTGTACAGATTGTAAAAACCCCTGAGGCATACAGTATATGTAATCTGTGATAGTGGGAAAATAAATGAAACTTGACTTGTTGCTATTCCCTCACAGTTTCTCTGTACTTGTTAGACTAACACAAGGTTTGTGTGTCAGTAGTGAGATCTACTGAAGGCTAACAAACAGGGCTCCATGCTGCTGAAGGAGGGAGCTGCACACAGCTGCACTAACCACTGCAGAGGAGAAGAACGTCCACAAGTGGGTCCTGTTCTGGCCCTGAGGCAAGCCAGATGATCCTTTGTGTGTGTGTGTGTGTGTGTGTGTGTGTGTGTGTGTGTGTGTGTGTGTGTGTGTGTGTGTGTGTGTGTGTGTGTGTGTGTGTGGGAGGACAGAGGGAGGTATAGGTTGACCTATTATTTTTACATACCGGACACGGCAACACGTTTTTCTTTCAAAACCGCTCCAAAAATCTTTGTTGTGTGTGTTTGTGAGCCACAGAGCTGGATTTGGTTTTGTGTAAGTGCAGCTGAACCCACTGGCCCATGTTGTGTTGGTTATAGAAGGAATGTGTTCACTCAAGGATCTTTTTTTATTCAAGGATGGAAGGTTATGATTACTTTCATTTTTTTTCCGTGGAATGTTTTTGAACCTCCTGTCAGTCAAACACCAGCCTGACCAACATCCTGACCTCTAATCACAGCTTTACAAGTCTGCAACAAACGCTCCAAATCACCGTCAAACTTCATACGGCACTGGAATAAATCACGGTGAGAAACAGGCACCAGCACCGCCCAAACTCTCCATTAAAGATCACCCCAGAAAAGTCGGCACTGGGCTACACCCCTTTAAATTATTACCAGGAACACATGCTCAGACAAAGTGTCCAGGAGTGAAGTGTCTCAAAATAACTTTGCTGAGATTTCAGGGGAATACAAGGAGGAATAAAGAGGAGCAGATGGGGAAGATGCTTTCAAATGAACGGAAATAGTGTAATCACCTATTGCGCTTGTTATCGTTGAGTCACGGATGAGAAGGGTAAACACACACCGGAAAGTAGATTCAAATTACTTTGCCTCAGTCATGCTGTAAACAAGACTAAGCAACCAATCAGGCGACATGCCCTGCCCCCGGACCCCCAGAGGCCTCACTATGTGGCAATTAAAGTGTGGTATTTTGATTAAAGAACAACATCAACTAAAATGATAGTCTTTAAGGGGCTGCCTGCCCAAATATGGGCCTTTCATTTAAATGCAATCAGGCGAAATAAAAAGTTAGCGTAATGCTAAAGGTGTAGTAGTTAATGTCTTCACTTGTTAGCAACCGCCACTTTTATGAAACTTTGGACTTTCCCAAGTGGGGTTTTTCCTCATGTATTTTGTGTCATAGAACAAAACGTAAAACTCTTTTCAGCATGAGTAAACCACAGACCGTACTTAAGTCTTTGGACCACAAACACATTCAAGAAACCTTTTACCTATTGCCCAGATGCAAAATATCTCTACAGCTCTTTATGTAACATAAACAATTGCTAAGTAGACAGATAAATACCTTGTTACTAGGCAGACATGTTAGAAACAATCCTGGAGTCACGGATTAACATCAATAAATAAACTCAAAGAAAATAAGATGGTTCTTAAAGCTTAGGATCTTTTTTTTTAATTCATGTTAAGGTGCTCTCTTCAGTATCTAAAGAAGGCAGTACAGGAAATGCTAACAGCTAATGCAGCATACCCCAAAATGCCAAAGTGTAAACAGACATTGCTAAAACTAGAATTACTGCTTTGAGGTTGTCCACCTCCACCATCCAGTCAAGTTGCAGATTAAATCAGGGTCGGCAATTGGTTTGCCGATTTTGTCTTTTTGGGTGATTTTCTATTTGAGTTGACCAGAGTTTCCGTTAGCCGGTAATTAACGGACTATGACCGGTAAAATATGCTGAAGACCAGCAAATCTAAATCTCTCCGCTCTCTCTCTCAAAATGTCGGGTCAAAATAATTTCCACTTAGCGCAATACCGCGCATTAGTTGCGCCACTTATGTGACAGACAAGAATAATACGTGACAGACAAGAAGAGTATGTGACAGGCAAGAAGAGTATGTGACAGACAAGAAGAGTAAGTGACAGACAAAAGAGTATGTGACAGACAAGAATAGTATGTGACAGACAAGAAGAGTAAGTGACAGACAAAAGAGTAAGTGACAGACAAGAAGAGTATGTGACAGACAAGAATAGTCAATTATAATGTCTAACCTCTAACCATAGACTGTGTCTAACACGTAATGTGGAGAAAGAGATGTCCTGTATGGGTTGATTGTGCGTTGA